GGGGGTTTTAGCAGAGGAACTTTCACTATTTTTCTCTGCTTACCTGCTCCCAAACCGGAAGTCTCCACTGTATATCTTTTATAGGAGCAGAAAGCCTCATCTTTCACCCATGGAGTAACTGGTAGGCTCGAACAGTCAATCTTGTGTTAGCAGTCCAGTGCTTATCATACAGAGCCACCACACTCCCTGGAACACACACATACATTGTATGGTTAAATTTAATAAACCTACTCCTCATTTATTGACATGGTTAGGTTCCAAAGGCCAGGTCATTATGTGAAAATCAGTGTTATGCAAAAGGTGGATCATCATGTGACAATCAGGTCACAGAATGGAGAATGACATCATTACCCATACATTTTCCTGTCCAGCCAATTTCTCCTGACAGTGGCCCTGTAGGGCAGCTATAGAGCCCTGGTGTGGCACTGTGGGTTAACGTGCTGGACTTCAAGGTCGGTTTGAACCACAAGGTCAGGGGTCTAAGCTCACCAGCTGCTCCTTGGAAACCCGATACAGGGTCACTGTGGGTCGGAACCAACTCGACAGTACTTAACAACAACAACAACAAGGTCAGCTATAACTGCCAGATGACATCACTATGTAACTGCCAAATGTCATCATTATATAACTGCCAAATGACACAATTATATTACTACCAAATGACATCATTACATAACACCAACCCACTGAAAGTCATGAACCAGCCAAGTAGACACATCACCTTAACCATTACAGCCAGCATTGCTCTTGGCTTTCACATACACAAAAGAGTTGGATAGTAGAATTTTTACAGTTGTCGGATGTGCAATGCAGGATAGCGAGATAGCTGGTAAATGAGAAGTTGGTGTATATTATGTATATACAGGTTCTATGTGTGGTGTTGTTAAGTGCCATCGGGTCCGTTCCATTCATAGTGACCTATATAGGGTTTCCAAGGAGTGGCTAGTGAGCTTCAACCACCAACCTCGCAGTTCAAATGGACATTTCAATCCAGTCCATTAACCCACATATACACCAGGACTCCGTATATATGATGTTGTTGTGTTGTGAAGTGTCAGCAAGTCGGTTCTGACATATAACGAACCTGTATAGAGTTTCCAAGGAGCAGCTGATGAGCTTGAACTG